CGAATTCAATCGTTTAATCTGTAAACTTTAATAAAGTGTGTCCTGTCCCCAATTCTTCTTTACATTTTCTTTGTCGAAACGAATAAGAACGTAAAAAGGATAAAGGTCGATAGAAGTAAATGGTGTTGCGTTTAAAAAAGCAGGATTAGTCTTCGATTCCATGGCAACCGCCGAACGGTTAGACGATTCTCGCTAAAAATTTCACTGGGATCGTGGGCAATATCGGTTTTACGGTAACACCGTACGCTACCTAAAACCGAAAGATGTCTTAAAGGTCGTCTGTACGAGTAGTACGTGCTGCACGAAGGGTATTAGAGTGTTAAGACGTTGCTGCTACAAAACGTACGCCTAGGAGAGGTCAAAAACATCTAACCGATGATATTTCATCGTCGAGGAAACTACCGAGATGATCGTAAAACACCAAACGGAGGATACCAAATTGTCCACAAATCATTCTCTTCGTTTTATCGATTTGCTACATTTTTTTTCTAAACAATACAATAATAATATTGTTCGTAAATAAAAATAAAAGATAGTAAATCTGCAATGGCGTGTATTCCTAGTCTCCTGTGGATTAACGTTAGACCTTTATTACTGGCAAGTGATAAAACTAGAGAATAAGTCAGACAGAGCGGAATCGGGTGCCTTATGTTGCCTTCTCCGTTCCTTTATTTCCGTCTTCCGTAATACCCGTCGTGGTTTAAGCGTATACGCCAACGGCAGCTTTCCGCTTTCGAACAAAAGAACCTGCTGAAAAGCTTGGGCCAAATCCGCGACTCGGAAAAGCTCAATGTGGTCTACACGGTGTGGACGCGTTAACGGTCTGCCGTAAAACAATGGGATTACTACGGGTAGATCGATGTTAAAGATAAAGACAAGGGGGTTGAGTAAAATGAACAAAACGATCGCTACATTTTATATCTACCCTGTAGTTAATCGATGACAAAAGCTCACTCCTCCACGAATTTCATCCTTAATTACATTTTTATTTCTATTACGATTTAACGGAGACATTTAACTTGGTAGACTTGATATTCTATATCTGAGTTACCTTGAACCAAGAAAAGGCCTTCGGTCAAAGCGACGTATCAGCATGGAAAAATGACAGCAAGGAAACGGAGGGCAAAAAATCTTCATTATAATTTAGTTTCGTTCAGTTAACAATAATGATAAGAGGAAATAAACATAATGAAGGAGGAGAGACTTTTTTTTTCTGCACGCGTGACAAACTATCGTTTTGCTCTGACCTATCGCAAAGTCTATCGCCTAGCACGAACCAACCACTCTGTTGCCATTTTATCGATTGGTCTTAATTCGTCTCCGAACAAATACGACCAAGCTGGACTCTCGTTCGTGTGACCAGTACCAAGATACCCGCGTTATTTCAATATCAAATATAGGTACGGTTAGATATTGGGATCGATATAATGTATTAGCAACAACAACAAGTTTTTGATACGAACAAGAAGAATAGATTGTTTTTTTTTTTTTTATTTCAATTGGACCAAATGTCTTCCTTTTTTCAAACTATCCACGTATAAAGAATTAACGCGTCTACACAGGTGTCGTATTTAAGATAGGTCGTAGGATACGGCACTTAAATATCGTGTCTCTTCTGCTTTATGGGACGTATAAAAGCTAGGGACGTTGAATGAATATGAATAAGAGTATCTCTCGCGTGTATTTTCTTCTTTTTATTCCAACAACGACGACTTATGTTAGTCACCTCCACCCTCCCCTCATTCCCTTTCACGCGAGACTACTTTCCTCGATTGAGTCTTACGGTTCAGCAATGCGCTGCAATGTCGTTTAATTACAAACGGAAGCCCCTTTAAGCCCCCTTTTACTTTACTTACATTCTTCTCGACAAAGAACAAGCAGAAAAAAAGAAAACTAATAAACCTATGTTTCTTTGACCGATAATTTCAAAAGACAAAGAGCATTTTTAATCTCTCTTTTTTTTTTTTTTTTGAAATTAAAAAAGTAACCCAGAGAATTGTGATTAGCTGGATTATGATAAGCATCCTGATTAAGCTAAACCTTGGATGAAAAGCCAATAATTCTAGCCCAGTAAATTTCCAATATCATCGGTAGAGGTAAAAAAAGAAAAGGTTCTTCTCTATCGATCTCAAAGAAATGTTGTCATCGAACAAACTGATAAGCCCATGTTGTATATCCAACTATATATGTTGATCGAGGCTAATCTGCGTTTGAGGCTTGCGTGCGGCGCCATAAACGAATGCCTGGCGCCAGGACGTCTAAGCGCCGACAAGACGAGTCTTTTCAAAGTATGCGTCATAGCTTGCTTCTCCCATCGTCCATTGCACACACACAAACACACACACACACATCAACAAAAGGATATAGGAAGGAAGGTCGTTGAATGTTCCAATAGAAGCACGAATTTCTACTTTCTCGAAGCGAACCGAACGATAATATCGAGTACGATCGATGTAATTGAGCGAGAATGGATAAGAATATAACACACACATACACACACACACACACAATCACACCCATGAACATGTAATCGAGAGGGGATAAGAAGTTTGAAAAAGTATGACTCATAGTTCTTATAGTATGACTACTCGATTGGACCATAGAAAATCGATGCTGCGTCGACTGAAAATCTTGACCTTCTGGCCCTACAAACTCGCGCACCCTTTTCTTTCAACTCCCTTCCGCCTCATTCGCAGACGCCATAAAACTTAACGGGCTCTTTCGAAATTGCCAGGGCCTTTTTTCGCCATAACGAGACACGGCACTTGCTTCTTCGCACCCCATTCTCTCGTGGTATACTCTGCAAAAGACATTTAAGCTCGTAACTCCGATGTTATGGGTTTTTGTGTTTGTTAGGGTGTGTGCGTGGAAGGGAGATAAAGAGAATAAATACAATAAGCACGAAGGAATCTTCTTGATCTCGAAAGTATAATCGTTTCAAGGCAAACTTTCGCCATGCAGCGAAGGAAAAAAAGAAAAAAGAAAAAAGAAAAAATGGTGGCATATGAACCGTAGCCTCAATTACGATCCACGGCCGATCAATTAAACGAAACCGCACAACCTGTTACGCAACCATTAATTGCGGTACTACCCCATGCTAGTAAAGGTAGCAATAAAAAAAAAAAAAAAGAAAAAGAAAAGCAGGACTCGATAGAGTTGTATACGTATGAAAGAATATAAGCGAGGGTAGAAGACTTATGTAAGAATGCCGAAGGAAGGCTACTCATTGGCAGTCGTTCGGTGTACGGGAGGCCCCCACCAAACTCAACTAGACTTCGTGGGAGGAATCGATTTGGTGACTCATCTAGGGGCGGTGACAAAACTCTCTTTACTCGCTTTTCAAAGCTTTCCTTTCTCTTCAAATAACGAGATGCACTTGAACTGCAACTGCAACTGCAACTGCAACTGCTGTTAGTCAATTCGAGCGATAATTAGTGGGGTGGGAAGGGGTAAAAAGTTCGTGAAACGAATGCGTGACACTAACCCTAACGAGTTTGTCGCTGTTCCTTTTTACAATGGAACCTATGCTCGAAATAAAAGCGAGTTTATTTACGAGTGGATCGTTGAATTTTTAACGAGACCAGAGTTCTGAACGCTTCGTCACCGTTCATTCTCTTCATTATTTGCTACAACACACTTTTACGATACAAATATATCAACACGATTTTCTCTATATTTACTTGTCATTTTTTTTTTCTTTTTCTTTTTCAATTAATTACCTTGAAGGATTTGTGATTAAATTAAGATGATTACGTGTGAATCATTACTTGCATTCATGTGTTCGACGTTGATCTGAATTTTATGCAAAACTTTGCGGAAACTTAGTTTGATACTGGTACCAGCAGCACGTTAATTTACATCTAGTTTAGCTTTTGAAATAAATTGTTCGTCAACTGTATCGACAGTTTCTGGTTCATAACACGTCCCTGACTATTTCCGATTAATTTTTCTACCACGAGTTCGGGAAATCAATGCAAATTTAATCTTGTTTCGAAAACTACTGTGTTCCTTTCAACTTTTTTCCCCATCATTGCAAATAAATGAATGAATTTCTGTCAATTTCGTTCTGCTTCGTCACACGTTTACAAACATAACGCTGAAGTTTACGGTTTACGTAATGTATTGATAAAATCAAATGAATCATCCCAGGATCTTCTCTTTTGACTTTTGTGATTGAACACGCAAGGATACTCGAATGATAAGAAAAAAAAAAAAAAAGAAAAGAATGAAGAAGAGTATGCCATCATACACATATACGTCGTTTTAATTCGATCGTCGACTAATTAACTCTTCAGAACGATTCTTCATTGTTCGTTCGTTTGTTCGTTCGTTCGTTCGTTCGTTCGTTCGTTCGTTCCCACCTGTCACGAGCCACCTCCTGCACCTCTCTTTCTCTATCTCTTTTCATCTTTAAACAAACAAAGTACAAAAGATACTTAAGTGGTGGAAAAATCGATTTAACGCTTTAATCGGCCCAACATTTCAAGTATAATCATTCGAAAAAATACTCTTGGGTAAATGAAAAATATATTCAATGAGTCCAATTAATGATTTCATTGATTTCAGGAAAGAGATAGACAGAGAGTGAACAAAATATTTTATTAACAATAAATACAAACAAATATATATATATATATATATATATTTAGTGGTGGGAAAAAATAGAGAAAACAATTGTTAGTGTTTTGTATGTGTATATCGAAGATCCAAGGGATACTTTTGACAATATGACGATCGTCGGAGGAACATGGATACTTTCTGTCAATGGCTCTACAACATCGTTCTCGCGACTGCCATTTGTCTCAGGATGATCAGTGAGTAGCTGCGAGAACAACGAAAGCGAGAATACAAAATGTGTTTTTGTCGTATATTGTCTATCTATCTCTTTCTTCTTTATACATGTAATGTTCTATTGTATTAATTATAATGTATACTTTGATAAACTAAACGATTGTCAATACTTAGTAATTGAAGGAAAATGGTTGTGTTGTTTTGTTTAGAAAATGGATTGCTTTCCTTCGAGAATCCAAATTATCATTTGGATCCGGCACGGCTCGATGATGCATTGAACAGCAACGGAAATGGCAGCTCACTCTATGATGAATTATATCAAGAATTAGTTGGGAATGGAGGCAGGGGTGGAGAGGTCACCGGTGGTGGTGGTGGCGGCGGTGGCGGAGGCGGAGGCGGTGGCGGTGGCGGAGGGGGTGGCACGAGGGTTCAAGCACGCAGAACTTATGCGAGCTTGGATCTGGGCAGCATGGGGGTTGACGTCACGCAGGGTCCCCTCACCCTGGATTCCGTGACCGAAGACGCAGCTGACAATACCGATAACCATAACCTAGGGTGAGTCTTGTAACATTTTTTTTTATCGATCATTACGAGATCAAGATTACATGCTCGAAGGTCACTGGGACAGGGTGCTCTAACTTCTTTTTTTTTTTTTTTCTTATTACTCTCTACTCCTTCTAATTTATTATACAAATTTTCTAGATATTTTCCATTGGTCCAGACACGATCCTAATAAAATCCAATTCCAGCACATCCGAATTCATCCGATCACTTCGTCGTCACACATGTTCATATTTTATAAACATGAGCCAGACTACTCGGTCCATCGAAACGGGAATCAATCCCTTTATCCCGTTGAAACAGAGATATCAGATATAGCAATCTAAGATTCGAATGGAAGAGTAGAATAACCGAGAAAAAGATCGGTTTCTCCAAAGGGAAATGGATGGTCCCAATGTAATATAAGGTCCAGTCAGTTAGACCTAACCGATAAAATTCCCAAGTTGGACTTCATCGAGTTCCCGCATAAAATTTCAATAAATCCGAGCGAGCGCAAGAAGAAAAAAAAAAAAACAAGAAAAAAAAAGAAAAGAAAAGAAGACAGCGAAAGGGGATTCCTCCTCCGAGGAAGGAATTATTTGTCAAATAATAATAAAAATAAAGAAAAGAAATAAGTCTGTAGCATTTTCTTATTCTAATATTTTTGACGACTACGTTCACAAAATTGGTATAGGAATATATTCGAAAAGATTGGAAGCATTTTCACGATCAAATGGAGTTTCACAATTTATTTCATCCCCCTATATTCCTTTCTTCGAAACTCTGAAGATTAGAAAATAAAATAGAAATGGATAATCTTGAGTAAAGCTAATAGTGTTAATTAATTTCAACATTTTTTGTTACATAATTGTAGGTGTATAAAAATGTTGATGTTCTTGCAAGTTAATTCGGTATTAGATGACAAGCAAGTGAGGGATGCTAAGAGGAATGATAAAAGGGATGAAAAGGCCCGAGGGTAAGAGCAACGCCAAAGGAGATTGAACTCTATCTAAAGTTGTGACAAACTTTGCTAGTTTCTCTCCCATACTTGTGTCGATCTCCATTCGACAACTGCGATCTTCTAGCGGTGTTTCTCCTTCGAGCTGTGTTCCACTTAAAAAGGGTCAAATCGATTAGTTATACCAAGTAAAATCCTATTTACCAACTATTTCTCCGCGAAATAAACATTCGAATAAAGTATACAACACCTATTCCATTTTGAAACTCAGTTTTGGAGGAAAAAAAAAGGAAATGAGAAGAAAAAGATAAGAATAGGTATCTTAACGATCGTGTCTGAGGTAGAATACATCGAGCGTGAAATAAGCTACCTTTTGTTCGGAAAAAGAAAAAAACCTTCTTCTTTTTTTTTTTTTTTCCTATCGAATCGACGTCCCATCTAATTTTTCACAAATACCATAATATCATAAAAATCATTCGAGTAAAGAAAGGAACAAAAATTTGGAGATTTATCGATCAATTTATCTCAATGTAAAAATGTTCTATCAAAGATCATCCATGGGATGATTTAGTTAAACGTTTAAAATCATTCTGAAGATTGTGTAGAGATCATAAATTGACTTTACTAAGTGATAAAAGTCAATGTAAATTCCGACATTAAGGTACGATCAGGAAGCAGTATTTTTACTTGTTTTTCATCTAGCTAGGATCTAAGTTTGAGAATGAAAGATAGACGAGGATAAAGTGTAAGTGAATATCTCCCTGTGTACGTTGAAGAAGGAAACGTTGCTAGTAGAGTTTGGTAGTAGTGGTAGAGATACTTTCCCGTAGGGCAGACGTCCCTTCAACCTCGATGGAGATTGATGTGGATAGTATTAATCTACCCCTGTCTACTTCGTCCTTACCACAATTCCACGTCTTGCCTTTTCAATCTGGAAAAATGAACGCTGTTGAAACTGATAATATGTTCAACTTTGGACAGCCAGATCATTTTGGAATTTACGATTTTTTTCTTCTTCTTCTTCTTCGAATCTCTTTAGAATTTAGTTATCCTGCGAAACTTTGATTCGAAGTAGTAGAAAAGAAAGAAAATATTATTTTAAACGTTGGCTCCTACTATCTTTACCTCGGTCATTTGAATTTTCATGAGATTCTGAAGGGTTCAGAGATAATAATAGCGAGAATGCATTCGGCAGAAATAGTTTCTGAATTATTTATGATTATTCCTATTTTTTCCCCCCCCCTTTTAATTAGGATCCACGAATTTCAAAAAATACGATCGATACATATCTCATAAACCTAATTGATTCTCACCTGAACGAGCTTACGTATGACGTTCGTAAGGGCAAGTATAAATGGATATTGATTTTCTTATCAAGAATACGTGCAAATATATTTTACCAAGGTGTACTACCTTCCTTTCTATATTTCGAGATTGAAGAAAAAGTCCTTTTTAAGAATTATCACCTGTATCAAAATTCTTCTACTATAGAATCCATGGAATTCTCCGTATATGAGAAACTTTAGAAAGAAAATAAAAAGGGAAAGAAAATGAGATTTTGTTGGTCAATAATTTGAAAAGAAAAGAAATTGTTAGATTCGTTTGAATCATAACCAAGAAGAACAGGAAGAGAAGAAGAACACAAATTCGATATTGTTTGGATGTATGTGCATACAGGGTTTGCCAAAAGATTTGTCTCATATTTCAGAAACGTATCCAAAGGATCCTATGGTATGGGTCAAACCTTTTGGGACACCCTATGTATGTGCGTGTATATGAGCACGAAGGTAAGAATACAATAGGAATATATCGATCGAATCCTCTTCAGAATTGTCGGTGTATGAACGTAACGTGTACCTATTTTCTATGAATATATGTATGTGTGTATGTATGTAATATGTACTGTACCAGTGAAAATTTCAATTCGCTATTTCCATTCTAACGAGATTCTGGCTATCGGCGCCCAAGGGGCTTTCAATTTCATGCAAATCGTTGGACATCGTTGCTTGGTAGAAAAGAGAAAGCAAAAACCTTTTGTCCACGTTATTAAAATGCTTATATTGGTCCAGAACCACTACCACCAACGTTACAATACAAAAACAAATACGTACAAAATGTTCCAATAAAATACACTTTTTTATTTAACTAATATATTTCCTTATCCTATTCAATTTGTTCCCTTTTTCTCTCTCTCTCTCTCTCTCTCTCTCTCTCATTTTCCTATTTACAGGATAATCTTCATCCCTATTCATTTTTCATTCTTTTTTATTACAAATTTAATAGGTATGAAAAAAAGGCTTAGATAAATTGCATAATCCTCGGAAAAGAACGCTCGTCGAGTGAATGTAATAAGTTTTTTTTTTTTTTTTTTTTAAGAGAAATCAAATGGACTTTTTCAAGCGTATTGATTAATTTTTAATAACGGGGATTTGGATATACTTAGACAAAAAGGAAAAAAAAAAAGATGTAAATTCTTAGAGTTAAATAGGTCAAAGGTTATTTGATAAATTCTTAACAAGCGTCGAAATACTCGTAACCGTTATCTCGAATAATTATTATTAATTCCCAAGCGTAATTTACATTGGCAAGGAAGGGATTACAAAGCAACCCCTTTGGAAGTTTGCCGTTGGTGGAGCCGTTGGTGGAGCCGTTGGTGGAGCCGCTGCTGGAGCCATGAGTAAAACTATGCGAAGGGGTATGCGAAGGGGTATGCATTTGGCACGAATCGCTTTCTCGAGCGTCGCCCTTAATTGCAGTTATACTGAAGCCGCAGGCACTCGTCGAATTCGACCGTTAATACCGATAATGGCCATGCCAACGCTTAACGAACTATACCGATGACCTTCTTATCCCTTTTTTCCATTTCTTTCTACGCGTCGTTCTTACATTATTACAAGAGTCAACTATTCTTTGAACTTGCACAGAAGGAACAATAATACATTTGGAAAAATCATCTTTCAAGATACTACAAACTATTGGCCCTCTCTCTCTCTCTCTCTCTGTACATTAAAATAACTGATAACAACTATTTGTGTATTGTGCGTGTGTGTGTCTATCTTAACATAAACGCTTAGAAAGTAGATAAAACTTTTCACCATGAAAACACTCTCGACGAGAAATTTAACGAACCGCAGTAAATTCGAATTTTCCTGCAAGTAAATTGCTTTCACTGGTGTTATTTATATATAACATTTAGCACATTAGAGGGTGGAATCGAAAGAAAACGATGGATACACGAGCATATATACAATTATTGGTTGAGGGTTGTGAGCCTGCTTGACAGAATGACAATGAGCAACGGCTTTTGGTATTGGTGAACGAAATGGAACGAACAGTCGCTACTCGACTAAAATTACCACGTAATCGTGAAAAGAGATCTTATTGTGCAACGTGAAAACGATCCTGAGACGTACCTTTCAAAGCCGTTCAAAGCCGTTCAAAGCCGATCAAAGCCGATCAAAGCCAATCCCCCAAAGATTTTTTTCATTTGCTCGGTCGGTCGGTCGGTCGGTCGGTCGGTCGGTCGGCTCGCTGCCGACGAAAAAGACCTTTTACTCCTTCTATTCGAATTATGATACGTTTTACTATTCTATCCCATTGTTTTTCCTATTTATTTGATACAACAGTCCAATGTAATAGTAGTTACATTTATTTTAGAAATCTTCTGAATCTCAGTGAAAATGAAAAAAGATCTTATTTGATGGGTATTTTTGTCCAAGTCCAAGATATATGATGCTCTTGCATACGTGTATGCAATTTTTGTTCCACCCTTCTTTATTTTTTTTTTTTTTTATTTATATATTTTTTTTTCCTTTCCTATAAGAAAGTCACGTTTTCTCGCAGGATGTCTCCGAAGGTGGAATGCAGAAATGTGCACGTGCCTTCGAGTTAGCATATAAATGAAATCCGCCTTGGCCCGTTGAATGTCAATTCGGTAAAAGTGAGATAGAAAAAGAAGGGAAGAAGAGGGATAGGTAGATTCATTGGTGTATGCCAATGTATCATCTACAACAAGACAGACTACCAAAATTTCCAACACAATTTTGACAATCGATAATTTTGCGTTGATCTTGGAATATCACAATAAAAACTAAACTACAACTTTAAACGTGGAAAGGTAGACGAGAATATTTTGTAAACCACAAACACGTTAACGTAGAAAATATTCTAGGAACGAAATGCATTCGAGCATGGAACGGTTACAACGACGACAGGAATTCATTGTCCATGAAAACGATCCTTGACGGGAACACGAAATAAATCGAGCGAAACTTTCAAAGAGAGAGAGAGAGAGAGAGAGAGAGAGAAGAAGAAACATGTTGCTTTCAGTAGAATTTAAATTAACCTTCAGTAATATATTTTCTAATCTACTAGTATTACTTTTTCCCCCTTCCCTCATATAAGTATTCTGTTAATTTTATTCAATCATTCTTATCGAAGACATTATTGCGCTTGAAATTGTTTATCTCCGTTGTTTGGTAAACGTCTTTGAGAGTTAGTAGTCTAAGTGGTAAAATAAAAAAAAAGAAGGTAAATGATTTGGGCGAGAAAATTTATGGTCGACGGTTATTCGAAAAGTTACTTTTCCTGATAACGAGGAAAGAAGCCTCGAGCTAGGAGATGCTTCTTGCAGGCTGCACACAAAATTACAGAATAATGGCTAACGGAGATTAATGGTAAATCGCCTAAAGAAACTTCATTTCATTTATTATATTTATTTATGGCTAGCAATTTACTTTTATTTTAATGACAAATTTATTTTCATTATTTTCCAAAATTAACTTACGTTTTTCCTATTATAACGTTTCATTAAAATATTCTGCAATATATATATATATATATGCTATTTGATTTCACTGTTACAAGGATTACACACGTCTACGTAAAATGAAGGAAGAAGTGGAAAGGAATGGGGTATAGCAAAGAGATAAAAGTTGACTGATTCGGTTCAAAAGAAAGTACTAAGGGCCAACGAACCCTTCTTACCCTTTGACCCGTCTCTATCCACCATATCTTCTTCACCCTCCTACAATACTTTCGTCCCTTTTTTTCTGAAAAGGTAGTTTCCCCTCTTTCTCCAAGCATCCTCTCGAATCAACCGGAAGTGCTTTGGGATGCAACTTGGCATATCCCTGTGAAAATGGCGGACTACGGATTCTTTCTTGAGAGCAAGAGGAAGAAAAAAAAAGAACAAAGAAAGGCCGTTCGTCGTGTAGATCGATCTTTTAAAAGTGCTCAAGGAGAATCGAGTTCCTTCTTCGAATAATGGCTAACTCTACATTTGCATACACATACATATTATTACAAAATCCTTCCTAAAGTATAACAAAAGCTTAGTACTCGTGTAACTAGCATATTAATGAAGTAATATTATTCATTTTCTTCTTCTTAAGTATACCTAAACTCGTGTATCAAATAAATCATTCGATTATACCAGGTGTCTCGTTATAAATGATATGTCCTAATACCTCCGATTTAATATTGATCGTAAAAACAACTGTTTCAAGTTAAAGTTAGTAGGTTTTTAGGGGAAACATTGATCGTAGCTATTGGGGATGGTAGTACTGTTGTCAGGATACTTTAGAGTCATAACAATTTTCTTTAACGTATCTCGACAAAAATTGATAGAGAATATCAATAGGAATACGAAGGAATTTTTCTCACGGGGTAATTTTTCATCGAGTTATGGCGTCTAAAAGTTTAAAAAACTGCCCGTAATGTTCCTTGGTTATATATATATACATTTCGTTTAAAAGGAGACATCCGTTATATGGTAGATCGAACACAACCCTCCCCCCGTGTTACTTTCCTCAAGATGCTTGGAAAAAATTCTCATGGTGATATTCCTCAGGGCGTTACTACCGGCACTTTATAATTGATTACCTCTTGCTCTTTAATATTTCCGCTTATTCATCGAGGCAAATCGTTAAAGGAAATGCAAACACTTTCATGCCAAAAGAGTCATGTTTTCTACCATGGTGTTATTTAATTTAATCTTTCTTTTTTGTTTTTCAAATTATTTTGATAAAAATAATTTGTAGTAAACTCTAACGCGTCTTCTTTTCATCCATTCCATCGAACCGAAAGCAGCACGTAGACAAATTTTCTTCCACTTCGATTTGATACATACTATAACCGTGTGAAACACACCCTACTAACGCATACAAACAGAGTTGTTGAGAGAATGCACTCGATAAGAGTGCACAACCATGAATGTACTCTATTGATTGGGCTGCGGCATTCTCTATTGAATTCCATCTGTAATCTCCAACATGTATGTATTCCAAGTAAATGAATGAACGATACAGAAATGGAGGATTGGATGATTATCGATGGTACCATCCCTGGGATTAATACATAATACATAATAACCCTTTCGTAGCACGTAAACAGAATCATGTAAAAAATTGTAATTCGACGATTTCTTCTTATGTATAATTCAATAGCATCGTGAAAGCATTGGCAAAGGTTCAATGAACGCTTTATAGCGGTTAACATAGTGTGAGTTATATCAAATGTTAAACTTACGCTCCCGTTAAATTCGCACTTTTCATTAATTCATATTATTATCATGGTCAAAATGTTCAATCGGTGAATGTAATGTAAGAATAAGTTGAGCTAAGTTAGGGGGTTGTTTTGACTTTCTTCTCTTTTGTGTTTCGTCGAGTAAACAAGTACCCTTATCTACCCCAAGTTTTCTTGTTTTTCACATTTATTTTTCTACTATCGGCGTTTCTACTTGCCGCTCTCCAATCGAGAGGAGAAATCTTTGGAGAAAACACAGAAAGGTGGGGTGGGGTGGGGTGGGGGATGATGAATCGGATAAGAATCGATTGGTTGAAGCTATCGACCGAGTTGTGACATATTCGCGTGGTTTTAGATGACACAAATTCCTGTTAGTTGATTCATACCTTGCATGGTCGAGGGTTGTTCAAGTGATATAGCTGGCATACACGAACGCAAACAGAGAACGTATAACAGAGTTATAATAGAGGACGGTTCTTGGGATTGCCAGGACTTCGACAAAGCTTCTACTTAATATTGCATTTCAATGGAAAATGCTAGAAGAAATGCAAGAAACTACCAACAAATAAATAATTCATCAGGGAATGTGTTTTATTTTATTCTTTATTCCTCATGCTTCTTATCAGTTATCATTTACGGAGAAACACCGTCATCAAAATTCTAATATTATTTTCCAAATGACAAAGAAGAAGGTAAGTCAAAAAGAAGGAAAAAAGGTCAGATGACATTAACTGGAGAAACCGGAAGTAAGTTAAAAACTCAGAGTGGACACGCAAGAAAATGTTAGAGAAAGGTGTGTAAAAAAAAAGCAAAAGAAAGAAATAAAAAATGCATCGTGATCCGCCTGCACCGACCGCAAGGCGCCAGTAGTAAGAACACGCGATGGTACGGCACGATGACGTCACCAGGAGAGCAACCGAATAAACTCGAACTAAACCGAGATCGACCGAAAGCACCCGTTTCTACACGGTCGCCGTTCAGTCTGTGCCCGACCGTACTACGGTCACTGACCACTATTTTCTTCTATGCACACATTTTTTTCCGATTCCTTATTTTGGTCATATCATTTTTCTTTCTTTTCTATACTCCCACCCCTTTCCCCATGTAATACCTCAAAGAGAAACTTCAATCGATTCTGGTGAAACGTGTTTAATTCGATTAGTGTAGTGGGTAGTAGTGGGTAGTAGTGGGTAGTGCTTGTAGTGGTGGTGGTCAAACCAAGTGGGAACAATACCAAAAATTACATTTATTTCATTTCTTTAAGGACAACTTTCTTTTCCTCCCCTCCCCCAATTCCTCCACGTCGTCGTCATCGTCGTCCTTGGGTCCTCTTCGTGGTAGTCGCCGTTTTCTTTTTTTTTTTCTTTCGGATCAACTTTTTATTTGGACATTTGGGGGAGGAAAGTATAAGACCAAGTAGACTTTATAAATGAATAACAATCCTAGTGGCGTGGAAGTCGAGCTGGTGCCACGACTACCGTTGCATGCTGATCTTCGTGGTAGCTGACTGTAAGTTCATGTCCATATAACTTTCTTCTTCTTTTTTTTTTTCTTTTTTTTTTTTTTTTTTGAAATAATACTCTTCCTTTTTGTTTCTACCTTTCAAACGCCAATTGCAGAACCTAACAACATTTCTACGTCCACTTGGGTATCTATTTTTGGTGTATTATTTTATTTTCAATATTTGTTTGTTAATGCGCGAATATGCGCGCGGAGTATAGTCTGCTGGAGTGTGTGTTTGACTTATTGCATTTGCGCATTCGAGACTCGCACCGACTCTCTCACCTAATCGATAGAAAACGAACGATACGTTGAAGCATATTTTCTTTCCAGAATTTTCTCTTCTTTTACCTTGTTTTTCCTTGTTTTATTTTTCTTTGTTTTTTTTTTCTTTCCTACCATTCGTCGATTCGTTAGATTTTGTTCGATCGGTTTTGCTCCGGTGTCGTTTGGTTCACAAAACCAACTGAACAGAGATAATGGAATCGTCCGCGTTTCACCGTGCTTATCGAGTCGAATCTCTTTGCGACACGTTCGATTTTTACCGGCGCGTTTATTCCGCGTCAAACTTATTGCCGCGAAAGATAATCCTAGTTATTTTTTTCTCTCTCCCTCTCTCTCGTCTCTCAAATAAATATCCATTAATCGATAATAGATTTTGATTACATGGGACAACAAGAATTTGGTCGTATTGGAATACCTAATTAAAATGGACAACGTATCCTCGAATTTGGATTCTCCAACGATTACAATAAAACTCTCTCTTTTTCTTGTGGGTTACGAAAGAGGGCTTCTCGTAAACGCCCATGAAACATCATTGAACTCCCACATGGAATACTTAAACGAGAGTTGCACGTAAATGAGTATTGCAATAGGGAAGGGATAGGGAAGGGATAGGGAAAGGAGAGAAGTTCTTTGGGTGAAATCCTTCGTACTATATACTCCTGTGTTTCTGTACTTAACGTTAGGGTTCTGCGCGAAGGAGTCTACGTACACACTTATGATTATAACTATAGACAGAGGAGAAGAGAAGAAAACGTCGCACGAGAGGGTGTATACGAGAGACTGCAAGGACAGGGGGGAGAGGCTAAGGGGACACGAGGGTTGCGAGCTAAAACGAAGGGATGGTCGATAAAAGCTGCCCTATAGCGTGGCTATGTTATTAAGTAGAAAACCAGGATCGTTTGATTCTTTAATAATAACGAAATAATCGAAGCATTCAACTTTTCAACTTGTACGTCGAGGATCAATCGATACGAATTTGCTTAATTGATTGTCCTATGTCGAGAATCCGACATTAACTTATGTACACTCGATATCTATCTAATTTTGCTTCATTCGAGGATTTTTCATGTCTAACCTTACTGGAATTAATGGTAAAAAGATTTGACGTGTTATAAATCGATCGAAGTAGTACCTAACAACCACGTTTCTTGCTCGTCAAACTCACTTGGCGCCATTCTCGGGTTCTGTGACAATCGTTAATTAAAAGTAGAATACTCTCCCAAGAGTACTTTGCGCTTGCACTTGTCAAAGTATTTCAATGTTAAACTTGTTACTTGAAAAAAAGTGATACAAACTTGAAAGAAATATTTTCCAAGAATTTCTAATACGCAATACAAATGAATTTGCATAAAGAGAAATGAGAGAGTGAGAGAGAGAGAGAGGCAGAAAAAAGTCAAGGACCTAGCAAATGTTCTTCACAATCGTGACGTACCTTGATTCACTTTCTCCCGTAACTATCATCGGCAGACGAACACAATCCTACCATCTAAAATTAGAATCCACTTCATGCGTCTGATCTCAGAGTCTCTTTTTCTCTCAAGCAATCTCCGTGTTCCTTCCTTTGATTATTTCTCAGAATACTACTACCTTTTTTTACCAAATTTTACATCAATTTACGACAACGTTTTCCATGCTAAAACAAAGAAATGTTTTTTCTCTATCGGTTTTACATTTGTTTTTACGGTGGACATTTCGCGGTCTCTCCATCTCTTTCAATTCATTCTCATATCGTCTGGAAACAATGAAAAAAGCTTGACTCTCTTTCTCTCTCTCTCTTTCTCTCTCTCTTTCTCTCTCTCTCTCAAAGGTTGAGCTTTGAAGTAAACGACGATGAGAAACGTGGCCGGCCATCAAAAATTCGGATTTACTGGCAGAAAGATCAAACGTTGTTGAAAACTGAAAGAAAGAGAAAGATAGAAATATAGAAAGGTAGAAAGTGAAAGATAGAAAACGGTATTATTTCGTTCAACGATTCGTGATGAAACCCAAAAGAGGACGGGGAAAAGTTCGTGACTCGCATGAACTTTTTTCGTCCAACATTAGCAAATAAAGATTTCTATTTTTTTGTCGGTAAAATATGTTCAAAGAAATTTATGTATACCTACTATTAATACCGCGATTGGTTTGATAAGATTTAATCGCAAAGGAAGGAAAAAAAAAGAAATAGACAAAAGAAGTGATAAGGTAATCTAAAATTGGCTACATTTCCGTTTGGCATAAGCAATATTTAATTAGGAAGTGTCTCGGATCGCTTAACGTAACTGACTTTACGATCTACATAATATCCGGCCCTGACGATTTTCGCTAGGGGTATCTTTGAGCATCGTTTCCATTAACACCCGGAAAGCATTAGGTGCCCTAATGGTAATAGAACCTATACAACCTTTAAGATAACAGCAGGTGCACAGATATTCTCCTTTCTCTCTTTATACGCCATCACCACCCGTCCACCCCCTAAAGTGAATATCACTTTCTATATGAGAGAGACACCAGACACCAAGACTTACTTGTTAGGGTCGTATTAAATTCGTCGTACGTATTAAAAATCTTCTTATAAAATAATAAAAATATAAGAATTCCATTTGAAGGATTTATGATCGTTGATTTATTTTTCATGCCCCCGTACACGTGACTCATCTTGGCTCCAGTTTGTGATATCCGGTCTAAGTAATTTGTCAATGTTACTCGCCTACCTACCTTTTGAATTATGGACTATACTACCCTGGCTCACCCTAACCATTCTTTTGTCAACCTTGAAGAAACGTTGAAGAAATATGTGAAAGAAACCACGACGACGCTTCGCCGTACGTTGCTTAATTTTAGGCAACGTATGAAATATAAAAAACAAAAAAAAAGACCTTTCAAGTAGACGCAATTAAGATGTGAAACTGATAGTTGGGAAATAGTCTAGGTTGGCCTCGATGGCGTCATTATTATCGCATAAAACATCTACGCTTCTAAGTCTTACAAAGCGTAGGATGAAAATCGTCGTTTCTTTTTATTGCAATTTCCCCTCCCTCCCTCCCTCCCTCACTCCCCTTTCTCTTTTTATTTCTCGAATATTTTATCAGATTAATCGAGAATTACGAAATCCTCGGGAATTCCAAAGGTGTTTTTCATAGAAGTTAAATCTCATAATAGAATTCTTACTAATAGCGTATATAAATAAACGAGACGAATGACGCGTTACGATTAGTTCTTTCATAAAATGGAGGGAGGGAGGGAGGAAGATCAACAATAGAAAAAGAAAAAGAAAAAAAAAGGGATAGGCGAAGGATATTCGTATCCAATTGGGTAAGAAACTTTCGATGAAATCCTTGGGAATTCTGCGACTATTTATCTCCGGTCTTTCTCTCTCATTTATAAGAGACCCATGGGGACGATAAACGTACTACCAACTTCGAATATCGTTAACGATAAGAACAAATTATTTCTTCTTTTTTTTTTTTTTTTCTTTAGGATTGTCAGTTTCTTTTGGTCCATCTTAATTCTCCAATTATATTTCATCTATCTATCTAATATAGTCCTTTTCTTTTCTTGTTATATATAAAATCGTACAACTTTTATGAACCTCAATTTTTTGTCCTTCTTCCTTTTTTTTTTTTCAAAGGGACAAAATGAGAAATCTCCCTTCTCAACCTTAATATAAGATTTTAATCTAACTTGAGCGATAAAACGCGATCAAAAGCGAGAACTCTTCGTGCGTGCTTAGAATCAAACGCGTTTACAATATTCTAATTTAGTCAATCTCTCAACTTTTCTCACTTTATTCTTCAGATATTCATTAATTTTAACCTTCCACCTCACTCCCAGAAAAAAAAAAAAACTGTTCCATGTTGAAATATTTGAAATGGAAGGAAAAAAAAAATTCTAATTAATTTAGAACAATGCAAGGTGGAAATAATAATGAATACAAATTTGTATCAATAAATATAAAGGAAGAAAAAAAAAATAATTCAATGGAAGGTTTGCAACAAAAGATGTTTTTGCGATGGTGTCACAATAAATAATCACACACACCACATAGAGACGAACACGAAGAGAGACACCAGATGAAATTTGGCACGGTTCGTAAAATCAGGCTAACGACGCAATTTGCCGGTGTTAATCAGCGCCTTCGCGTCCGATGAAAAGAAACCTTCGAACAAAATGAGAAAAGATCGACAAATAGAGACAAACACAGAGATGGATAGAGAGACAGAGGAAAAGGGGGAAAAGAAAGAACGGAAAAGAAACGGAAAGAAAAGAAATTCCTGAAAGAAGAAGAAGAAGAAGAAGAAGGAGAAGAAGAAGAAAAAGAAATAAAAAAGAAGAATTGTATGGAGAAGTAAAAGAGCGTGTACGTGGGCGTCCGTAGGAAGTGAGCCAGAACTAGAGAGAGGGTGCTTCTCCGTTCGCTTCGCTTCGATCAATACGTACTACCCTCCCTCTACCCCTATCCCTTCCATTCGACCCTCACGAGTCCAGCTTTTCTCTCCTAGCTACGGCACTGGCGTATGTCTTATCGGCTGCTTGACTGCACGCTTCGAAAAACCCACCACCACCACCACCACCACCTTTCTTCCTTTCTTCCTTTCTTCCTTTCTTCCTTTCTTCCTTCCTTCCTTCTTAAGTGACCCCTCGTGGTGACCCCATCTTCGATTTCGCTTGTGTCTTTTCAGCCAAGTATTATTTCATCTCGCTATTTCTTCTTTCTTTTCTGATTTTCGGATAATCCTTATAGAAAGATATACGAGTAATAAAAAAAAAAAAAAAGAACAAACAAAAGTATCATGATTCCAACAGGATGGATAAGTAACGGTCTTCGCGGTGTAATTTACTGCACGGACAGGTGCCTCTCGCGAGTATCTCGCCTTACGACCTAATTGAGTTTAATTACACCTGACTGAAAGTTACGAGACATGAACCCGCACACACTAACAAAAATATATATGTATATATGTGAAGAGAAAGAGAGAGAGAGAGAGAGAGAGAGAGAGAACAAACGTACCATAATAGGTGGACTCGCGGTTGCCCGTCAGCCGATTTTGGTCGGTGCAATTGGGCGGGAGACTTTATGACTCAGCGCTAATTAGCGTCCTCTCATGACGCTAACTTCTCCTTAACGATCGATTAGATAATTGTCGACAATTTAATATAATTTTATTTCTGTCAAATAAATACCAATGATATATTAATGATTCCATAATAATTCACTTTTACGAGAGAAAAAATCAACAGATAAATTAATTCAAAATCGTAATAGGATATTTGGTACATTTATTAAAATAATCTACACACATAAATGCGCGATTGCTGTTTATAAACTCTATTTCTATATAGGAAATTGAGAAATCATGTGATATTCCGCATAAGCATTGGGATCGATCGATCAACTCTGCGGTTCGACCGCATTGATACCATAGAATCCCCTTTCACCCCTTTCTCTCTCTCTCTCTCTCTCTTTCTCTCTATCAACCCCAACTCCTGTTTTTGGCACATTGCCAATTTCTCCTAACCCAAATACTCCCATTGCAAAATAGTGTCATCTAACTTGGGGTTGGATATGTAACAGCTAGAAACTTGATATCGATAGTTCAACACTACTACAGCGTCAAGGAAAAAAGGCTAAAAAGGCCAAGTGAAAAAAGAAAATAAAAAGGATTGATCTTACTGCAAGGAAGCAAAAGGGGTTGGTGTAAAATTTCATCCTTGCAACTCGTTGTTAACAATATCATCCTTCGTCAAAAGTATAATTAAGAAACCCAATAGCCTTACAATTTTACATTTTCTTTCCGGATTGCCACTGTTTACGCAATTGAAAAATATTATTAAGAAGATCCTTGCTTGGGTTAACTCGTTTAAAAAACACTTTTTTAACATGTCAGATCAATATATTACTTTGGGAGTGTTAAGAAAAAAAAAATGAGGGGAAAAAAAATGTAAATGTCCTAAGTAACGTTATACAGTCTTCGAGAATAGATTAGTATTAGTCTGCTCCAAAGCGTCGAGTTAATCCCTTAATTACTTGGACATGGTTCGCGAGCCTGTACTAACCACGTTTGCCGTCTGCTTCCGTTCACCGATCGTTAATTAAAGTGTCGACTACCTTGCAGTTACACGTTTGCGCCACATCGTCTTAAACTTATTAGAATTAATTAGAAGACGTTTAATAAATTGTTAACATTTTCTTTTTTCCAATATTATTGATCAGAACGTTTAATTAGAACCAGGGTTGCATCAATTTAAATGGGGGAAAAAAAAACTCCAAAAAAAAAACAAAGAAAATAAATAGGTGTTCTATTGGGTGTACGAAACCTGATTTAGGTACAGCAGCGAGGGTGTGACGGAGTCCGCTTTGGTCGACGACACCCTCAACGGGAATCCTCGACCATCGTCGCCGTCGTCCTCGCCGCCAACGACGTCCTCGTCATCGTCGATCCTACCATCTAGATCTTCTTCTTTGATCCAGCAAACAGGATCTACCGTCAACGCCGCGGAAATTTCCGCTACGAGAAAGTACGTACGAATAAGCTCGATCGTACCTCAATCTATCTCTTTCTATTTCTATTTCTATTTCTATTTCTATTTCTATTTCTATTTCTATTTCTATCTATTAGATTCAGCTTGCTTTGTACCTAATCTTTAACTCTATTTCCCTCTCCTCCAACTTCTGTGTTTTTATTCGGTCGGCCAATAAGTATCGTCGCAATGTTTACTATTTTATATTGCAATTAAAAAAGCACACTAATAACTAAAACAAATTGATTAGAAATATCTACGTTACTTATTGGTCATACCATTAGTATCGCTGGTTTTAGCTTTTTAATCAATTGATTTCTAACATATTATTTATATTTATTTTTATCTCTATCTATCTATCTGTATTTGTTTTTCTTTTCTGTTTAATTTCGTTTTGTATTCTGTTTTATTTCTTTGTTTCTTTGTTTCTTTGTTTCTTTCTTTCTTCATTCTTGCAAAGCGATCGATTTCTCGAGAGCTAGGCGGATCAATAAAGTGTCCGCCGCTTTTAGTTGACCTAGCAAAGTAAATAGCTTTCGTAGGTACGATGTAGCTTGTTCGTACTTGCCTTCGATCGAGAGCATTGTGTATATTGTTTGGTAGTATTGTTATTATATCGATTATGTGGGTCGAAACGCTCTATGAAGGTTTCTCCCTACGTGGCTTCAACGTCTATTTGTTGCTGCAGTAAATAGACTAACGGCATATGCTTTTCAATAAATTGTTTGTCAAATTAAAAGCTGGATGGCATTGCAACGATGATTATAAACAAATGCAATGACAACGAAAAACCGAAAACCATTTCCCAAGCCCACCACATCTATATCACCTATAACTTAAAACTTCAGTTAGTAGTAGTCCAGCCCTAAATTCCGCATAGCAAAGTAGTCATTGATCCATCCGAAGATATATTGCCGTAGCTTGGCGTTGATTGGTCCCTTGCTTCCAATCGATCCGATCAATTTATTTTACAGCGCAAAGGCTGAATACTCTATATGAGAACGGCAATTTAAACAGACCCAAAGGATGCTCCAAATTGTCTCTTACACATCTGCATACACAGATTTTTATCTTTGCGATCTTTCAGTTATTGCGAGAAAGCTGATAACGACACGACAGAGATGGGGGGTGTACCACACGTCGAGGGTGGCTTGAACAGCGAACTCTATGCTGTACCTGTTAAACGAAGGCAGCCTAAGGATCAAAAGAACAATTCCGCATTGCAAAATAATATTCAGGATAAGGCACCGACCGACGTTGACACCAATGATTCCGAGGACAAGGATGAAAATTTGCCACCTGGTTGGCAGAAACACGAAGGTATGTATGTTCTCTTTTTATTTACGAATATTTTTCTTATGTAAAGATGAAATTTTGTAGATGAAAATGGTCCCTATTACTGGCACGTTAAAAGTGGAAACATTCAAAGAGAACCACCAGAAGCACCGCTTCACAACAAAACCGAGAATCGTAGGAGCTTGGTCAAAGATAATGACAGCGTAAGTTTCCCCTAGCTTTTCACTAATTCTTTTGTTTATCACACTAATTATACACTTTTATTTTTACAGATAAATAATTTTCATAGTCTTGGTGGTATAGTGAATACCGTAACACGTAGCAATACGAGCTCAGCTCTCGATCAGGAATTGGAGAACAAAAGAAAAGTGGAACTTGCATTGAAGTAAGACCAATACTCAATGAACTCGATAATTATTTTTTTCTTGACACTCTAATTCACCTAAATTTCACTTTAGACGAAGAAGCTATCCAGCTAGAGCCGATTCCGAAGGTAGAGACAAGCCGATTAGATTTGCAGTACGATCGTTGGGTTGGACGGAAATTGCTGAAGAGGATCTAACGCCTGAAAGATCTAGCAAAGCGGTGAACAAATGTATCGTCGATCTATCGCTAGGTAGAAACGATTTACTCGATGTAGTTGGACGATGGGGTGATGTAAGTTTCTATGCTTTTCAACTATTTCTAATTGAAACAAAATTCAGCATTTATAATTGATTTCAGGGCAAAGATCTGTTTATGGATCTAGATGAGGGAGCTTTGAAACTAATCGATCCGGAAAATCTCACAGTACTCAATACTCAGCCAATTCACACAGTCAGAGTTTGGGGTGTTGGAAGAGATCATTGTCGGTAAGTCATCAACGAACGAACAAACTAAACTAATTAATATAGATTTATACATTTTAACCGATAAACATTTGTTGCATGTCCATTTCTAAAATGCTTGGATGAACTCAACAGTGAAAGGTAAATTCTCTCGACAATTCTAATAACACAATGAAAAATACAAGGCAACAATTACTTAATGAATCGTTTCATTTGTTCAGAGACTTTGCATACGTAGCAAGAGACAGATCAACTCGAAAGCACATGTGTCACGTGTTTCGTTGTGACATCCCAGCGCGTACGATCGCAAACACCCTTCGTGATATTTGTAAAAAGATCATGATCGAACGATCGCAACATCAGAATTTAGCCAAGCCTGTTGATATAAATGGTCGAACGAGTTTGGCGACGAGACCGACGAATCTACCAACTGAACATCGACGTTTTCACAGAAACGGACAGGCACTAGTCAGTGAGTAATCAAATTCCTAATTAACAATTGAAATGATAAGTTAAAACAATTATCAATTATTATTGCAGCGCAATCGTTTCCAACACCAATGGAAGAACCAAAGAAAGTACTAAAGGCACAATATCTCGGATCGATGCAGGTCACCAATGCAACTGGAATGGAGGTGTTAAACGATGCGATAGATCACATTGTATCAAATACACCCTTAAATCAATGGCGAAACGTTAACGTTGCGGTAGCACCTAGCATGATCTCCATACTCACGCCAAACGTAAGAGTGTCTGTTTTTTCTATCCATAATTTGGATTTTATCAAAAAGAATAATTTCTAATTCGCAGGACGAGAAATTGATCACCGAATGTCGAGTTCGTTATTTGTCCTTCCTTGGTATTGGTCGTAACGTGAAACAATGTGCTTTCATCATGCATACAGCTCAAGATCTTTTCATCGCACATGTCTTCAATTGCGAGCCTAGCAGTGGTGCTCTCTGCAAAACGATTGAAGCAGCTTGCAAGGTACATTTCAATACGATATCTAATTAGTTTAAAATACCAATTGACAATTACGAAACGTGAGATGGGATCAGAAATTCTTGTCATTAGATAAATTTCAATTGATAGCAGTAAATATAATCTTTCTCTATTTGGAAAGTATGTTATATTTGGACTATTCCACAAACTAATCTATCAATTAATAGTTTATAAAAGCAATTGATTTTTCTGTTCTTATAATAGCTGAGGTATCAAAAATGTGTGGACCTAAATTGAGACTTGTAAAAAAATCTACCAATTGACATTTGTGAGTCTAATCTTTTTTCTTCCTTTTCGTAATAGCAGAACTAGCAAAATTACTGGTCTGGTTTATTAAATCGATCCAAATTGACGCGAACAATTTAGTGTTTGGAACGTAATTTAAAGTTACAAATGTTAATCTGTTGGTTATTTCGATAGCTAAGGTATCAGAAATGTTTGGACGCACATCCGCAAGGATTCAGAAACGCAACTAGCCTGAACACGCCGAGTGGTAGGGGATTAGGAGCGACTTTGAAATCGCTCGTTGGTTCTCTCACTGGTCGTAGAAATAAACAAGGCGAATCCTGAGACGAGGCTCTCTCGCTGCAGGTAAATTGCTCGGGCCGACACTGCTCGAGGAGACCACGGGCTCCATCCTAACTCGTAAGGCATGACCATTTATTCTAAGTTGCAAATTAAATTACGACAAGTGGAAGATCATTTTGTTGTTCTCCAAGATCAAATCATCAATATCAAACAAATGCAAAATGTGCATTTGACGTAATAATAATAT